TCGAACCAGATGACCTGGGTTCAATTCCCACTCACAATTTTTATGATTTTTATCTGAACCGATTCTGGGCCTCCACTAGGTCAGTTCAGCTTTAATGAGAACCTGGTGTGGTGTATGAACCATCAGCACTGGGGAGAGATGAAGGCAGCCGGGCGTGGTGCTGGCCACACTGATCTTGTGCCCCATGTCAACCTTAATAGGTGCTCACTTTAACACGTGGTAGGCTTTCAAGACCAATATTATTCATAATAAAGGTTTTTGAATTCGATCGTGTAAATATAAATGTGTCGATAACCCACCGCCACCCTACACGGCCATTTAGTAAGCTTTGTCACATGAACAAAACATGCCAATGAGTTACTTGTTTCAGCACACTGCTGTGATGGAAAGTGAACCTACAACGCCATTTCGCTGGCGATTACAACCAGCTTCATCGGGTGGTTTGCCAGAATTGTGAAGAAGTCTTCCATCCTCTTGTCTTGAAGAGCCGGGAACCCGGACCGCAATTGGCATTGATTGCCTGGTGGCTACTGAAAGCAATCGGGGAGATCTTGAGGATAGGATATTTTAAGAAAATAAATGAATGCAATAAATGTGCATAATTCGTTACGGAAGGTCATTCATTGCTTTAACATTATTCCATCTGTGAGCAGGATGAACCTTACAATTAAAAAATATATCAATGTTGTGGTCTCAACGGGGACCACCACCCGGCGGGGGGGGGGGGTATTGGTCACATTGCGCTGCCCCCCCTCCCCCCCGCTTGGGTCTGCCACAGTGCCAGTGTGAAAGAGTAGGCCGAATACCCTGTGAAGAGAGAGAATCTAGCAGCTTAAACGTGTACACCACACTCAATCGGCAGATCACGTGTGTGGTGGTGGGGGTAAGCCACCCGGCCAGCTTGGAAGAGTAGGCCAAAATGATCCTCCCGAGAGGGCGGGGGGACCTCTACCTACCAATCGGCGGTGGCGTGAGTGTGCAAATCACAGGGCTGTACCAACTGCACCGGTCGTCAGCGGGGGGGAGGGGACGAGGAGGGGGTCGTGAAGGCGAAACCATTGCAGTTTGAGAGCACTGGCTAAAAAGCGCACAGTTTGGACGTGCGGTTTGCGTGGATAATTTTGCCGGAAAATAGGCCCTGCTGCGTTTGTGATTTTAATGGGGCGGCGGGGGTGGGGGTGACCTTTTGTGATTGAAAGTGCTAAAGGTTAAAGGGATATTTTTTTCGGTTTACTCTGAAATATCGGCTTGTGCAGGACCAATTGTTGTAGCCACTTTCAGTGCGATGGCTTGGACAAGTCGTGGCTTTGATCGCGGGGGGGTGGGTGGGAGGGCCCTAAACAGATCATATTTTTGTGCCACCCCCCCCCCCCCCCATTTCTCTCAGTTTATAAAATCCTGTTGAGATGTGGGAATGAATAATGGAGATTTAAGTAAAGGCATGGTCCTGCAATTGCGTGTTCGTGCCACTGTTGGTGGAAGGGCCTCCGCTGGAGGCAGCTGTTGTTAGAGAGTCCCTCTGCAGGGGGTATCTTTGGCCTATTCTTCCACACTGACCAGACATCTTGTAAGAGGTGTTAGTTTCCCCACGGCATGCGATCTGCCGATTGACCAACCGTGGTGAACCCGTTTACACTGCTGGGTGGAGGGACGGGAGGCGGAGGAAGGTCGCATCGTTTCAACTGCCGAGCCGGTAGTTTGAGCTCCTGTGTCCTTATCCATGTTGTGTACAAGAACAGGGTGGGTGGCCAGATGAGAGAAGGGAGATGCAGACAAGTTGGCGGTGTGAGAGAGATATCACGGTAATTGTGCGATTTATGTTGATTAGCCTACTGTATTGTGTAGAATTTCTAATTTGAGTTTATATTTACCGCACCGATTGTATATGATTCTGGTGCCCCCCATGAGCTACTTGTGGGCCCGTGTGCCTTTGCTTGATATAACTGTTGCTTCTCATCTACCACTGGAGGTAAAACAGGCAGGCCACAGCGTGCCTTCTCAACCTCACCCCCGACACATTGTTTCTCGGTAATAATATTAAGCCCCTTTTTTATCGTCTTCTATTGCCTTATCACAATTCCAATTTGTGCTGCTGTTCGTGTCTTATAATGAGATGAGGGCCTCCCCCCACCCCTCATGGGCGTTACAGGGATGGCCCCCGGCGTCTCGGTCGTGCCAGCTCAGCGCTGTCACTTCTGCGCCACCTCTTGAGCGAAAAACCAAATGTGACGTGATAAATGTTGTTTTGTGTGTGTGCGGTCTATTTGGGTAGCGGTTAGGGCCCCGCGCTACGAACTCGGCTACCCAAGTTCGATTCCCGCTCACGGTCAACACCAGTGGCGATTATCTCAACCGGTCATGGGTCTCCTTTGGGTCTACTCGTCTTAAATCTGTACCTGGTGCGATGTGTAAATATCGCCACTTGGGAGACAAAGGGATTGGGCGTGGTGTTGGTGAACCATCCCCTCGTGTGTCGTTCCGGCCTTTGCAGGTGTTCGCTGAGGGCACTTGCCCTCACAGTCATTGGTGACCGGGCTGAGGCCATAAACTCGCTACAGTTGAGAAACCCGGTTGAATAACAGCTCGATCAACGTGATGCTGTGGGTCACTGTGCGTGTCCGTGGGTCGTTGCATAAGTCATTGGTAACTGGACTGTTATCATCAACTCGCTACACTTATGGAACCCCGATATTCAGTTTACGTGTCGGTGGCAGTGGCGCATAGCACCAATGGCAAAAGCACAACACATTCGTGAATTACACTGCCCCTTAAAGTAAGAAAAATGTATAATACGATGTTATATTCTTCCCCTGTTCTGCAAATAAACTGAGCCTGCATATTTTACTGCGATATAAGAAATATACGCTATTGTACAGCGGTACTGACCAGTCGGTTGTAGAGCATTCTCAGTTTATTGTAGAGTAGCGGTGTGGGTGCCCGTTTAAGAGTACAGTATACATGAGTACAGTACAGACTATCGCTAGCGCCACGACTCAGCAGCATCCTGAGTCTCCCGTAAACAACGCAGCTATCATAAGCGCCCGCACGGAAAGATGGCAGATGGCTGTTGGGATTTTTTCCGGATACATGAGAAAATATTTGTATTTTCCGTCTGTGGCAGACGCCGGTTAATGGAGCCTTCCTGGGTGGCAAAGTGCCGGATAATAACGTCGCTTTTGCTGCGAATGAGGCTCATCCTGGTCTCTCCGAGTTATTTTTTCACCTGGATCGTCAAAGTGAACTGGACATCATCATCATCATCTACTCTCAGCGCTCGTGTGTCTGCCCTTTGCCCTGCAGCGCCCCTCTGAGCTCGCCTCCCTTAGCCACGTTTTTCGGCTTCGTGTCTCAACCCCAGCCGGGCAGAGATCCCCCGTGGTTTGCTTCTGAAATTGGTTTAACGGCAATGATCAAATTTTGACTTCGTCCAACGTTTCAAGGAGTTAAAAAAAAAACGCCGCTGCTGTTGTTTTATTGAAGAGCAGCAGCGTGCGTATGACCGGATTACCTAGAATGTATGTTCACGTATGTTGAACTTCTTTGGCACAGTACGTAGCCAATCGCGTTGATCGGAGGTGCGGGGAAAGGAAAACAAACCAAGCACAAAAAGCAGTTCTTAATAAATTAGCTTTCAATCTAGATTTCGAAGTGCATAGCTGCAGTGGCTTTCCGAGTACCATGAATCCACGTTTCTCTCTTCCTGTCCACTTGTTTACCTGTATAGCCCCCAATCTCTGCTGACATTCTAATGCCGCGTGCGTAGAGACCAGGAGTGTTTTGTTTTGCATTCTTGTTGCGGCTGCTGTCTCCCAGCTCTGTGGTTTACTGCTGCGACGTATTCATTGCAACACACTACGCCACCAGGGCCTTATCGGAGTGTTTTTTGTTCACCGTTAGTGGGTGTTGCTGCACAGACAGGTAAGGAAGCTTGGTTGTTTAACACACCGAGCGTCTCTTTTCTGAAAATTTCCACCTCCCGTGAACTCCGCCCCAATCGTATTCACTAATTGGGTCGTTCTCTAACATTGTAAATAGTGTAAAGTAAAAAAAAAAAAGCTACAGCGTCAGAAGGTGCAGCCCTGCAATTTCCTTCTCTCACCACTGCCGGTCGGAATGGAGAGAATCGACCCGGCGACCTCTGTGTTTCTCGCCACCGCTCGGCGTATACGTGTGCTGTTTGTGTGCGCGTCTCTGTGAGCAGTTGCGCTACCGTTTGCGGACGAGATGCCGCTGTGGACCGTTGATCCGCTCGGCAATCTTAAGCGACGCGCTTTTGTCCCGTGAGACGTTGCTAACGATGCAGTTGATAATGCGCAGCGACATTCACGGACGGAAAAAATGACCGCGATACTGAGGTGCGGAGCCAGGCTCGGTGTCACTTGATAGCCAGGTGAGAGCGGTGGAGCCTATTAAGCGTCTCTTTAAAAGCCGGCGCAGATTGAACGCTGCTGCTGCTGCTGCTGCGAATGTGCAGCGGCGGGACGATGATGGCCACGTTCCAGATGGCCGGGAGCTGCCACGGAGAAACGACGCCAGGCAGTGGCGCCGCCCAGGTTGATGGTCGAGAGAGGAGGAGGAGGAGGAGGCTGTTGAGAGTCGCGCTGCTGCAGCTGCAGATCCTTCTCACGTGAGCCATAGTGCAGGGTGATGGGAGCGGAGAGAGACACGGTGGACGACCAAGAGTAGGGGCGCTGTGGCAGAGAGGCAGGCGATGGGAAACCGGCGGTGGGAGGCCAGGGAATCTAGCCGATGATTTGCAAAATTTGCGAACTACGATTGGTCGGCACGACCCTGAATACGGCGTTTGTTCTCCTCCGTTGCGCAACTGCTCACTCGGATGCGGGCAGTGGTCGTGGGCGACATAGCGTTGCACGATTTCGGGATTGGCGATTCGTTTGCTCGACCGATTCGATTGCTCGTGAGCCGGCTTCAAGAAATGCGCGGGGAAGGACGCGCCGGCGCTGACGCGCGGTGTCCACTCCCCTTGTGCTTTCCCGCAGTAATGCGCGAGCTCGGAGGCACGTGAAGCCGCACCGGCGCGCGGCAACTCTCCGCCGGAGGACTCCGCCGGAGGAGGGGGCGTGGGGGGAGGGAGGGAGGGAGGGGGGGGGTGCCCCGATGCGCGTGCCCGCAATGGGCTGCGCCTCCAGCAAGAAACAGCAGTCGGTGGGGCCCGGCGACGAGGAGGAGGAGGAGGGGGTGGAGACCAACGGAGCGAGCGCCGAGAGGGCGCAGCACAACGGGGACGCGCACAAGAAGGGAGGTGAGCGGGCGGGGGAGGCGCGCAACCACCTGCACCGTCGTCGGTGCCACCAGAGTTCGCCATCGTCGGCATCCTCATTGGGTGTCATCATCGTTCACTCGGCAGCATCGCGGTCATCGGCATCGCGAGTGGCCGTCGACAGAGCTCGGGGCAATGGAGAACGCGCGTTAGGGAGAGACGAGCGACGTTCCCACCATCATCCCTCATCGTGGTCATCATCAACCGCTGCCCCCCACACGAGTTTGAATTTCCATCGGGCGCGTTTGCGTGTGATGTGGACACGGGCTGAACTTATCGATTGGCGAATTAACGTGGCATTAAAACTGCCCGACGGGGAGCAACGGCTTCCGGGGACGCGTACACCCTGGGGAACGTGTCCACCGGTCCGCGACCGTGTTACATTTCCCCTGTGTGCGTCTTCCTTCCAGAAAAATCGATCAACAATACCAATCGGTAGGAGTAACTTGGTTGGCATGGGCCCAGATGCAATTAATGAAATGGACCCCACTGCCCACCACCCCCTTACTTACCCCTACTCGTGTACGATTTGTAGCCCAGGGCCTGGGTGGGCCCCTCTGGCCCATGGGAGGCCTGGTGCAGTTTCATTTAAATATTTGTGTCAGTTTTTTTGTTGTTGCTGTACACGAGAACAAAGGCCCCGCAGCGGAACGTTGGGTGACAAAAATTAACCGCACGCGAATATCCGCCAGGCCCCCCGTGTACCCTACGCATCCTGATTGATGGGGGTGGGGGGGGGGGGACAGGGACAACCTGGGACACAGTTTTGGGTTTTTAACTTGGGATGTATTTTCAAGGGGCATCCCTCCTCATCCGACCGTTAGTGTACAGATTCGGCACTCTTTCCGCCAAAAAAACCACACGAGATAAGGATTCCCCTGTCAAATGATAGAACTTTATTTTCTTTGCTGTGTATATCTTCCGATGACTTTGATTGAAAAAAAAAAATTCGTGTCGGTCTGGGAATTTAGCTGAAACATGGTCTCTTGAAATAATTTGAAAGGTTAAAAAAAGGGATTTCCTTTATTTCCACGGCTTTAACTTTGCAATCCATTCCAGTGCAGCTCACGTTTTTGCCTAGGTTATTGAGTTTGGGAATAGGTTTTACCCTTTTAACTGGCACAAAAACTGACACCTTTATTCAAGGCATCATGTTTGCAATAACCACAACACAAGCAGTCAAAATGCAAACAAAAAAGACAACTCTGATAATAATATGCACTGTCCTTGAATTTGATTGGTCCACACCCGAGACAGCTTTTCTTAGAGCCTAGTCTCCATTGGTGTTGGACCAGAAGACGCCAAAAGGCGTACAACTCAAAAACAGCGCACTATCCGAGTATTATTGAGTTTGGTTACTTGCAATGTTTTAAACATTGAGAACCCCACGCGTGGCCACTCTGGCATGGGCTACCGTGAGATACACCGAGCCTCCCTGCCTGCTCAGCTGTGCTGGAGCGCAGGCAGTGGCGGGCGGCGGCGGAGCCACCGCCGCCGCCCGCCCGCCCGCCCACGTGTACGTTTGCGTTTTCGGCCTCGGCCTGGTAGAGTGCTAACGGAATAAATAAACATTCCAAAAGAACATAGCAAAAAAAACACCTTGGCCCGTTTCGCCGCAGAGAAACCCTCGAAGACGGACGTGGAAGGGCCGAAGAAAAAGGCCGCCGGCGCTGATGGGATCGGTGCTCTCAACACCATGCAGAACCACCTCGCCGCCAGGCCCGATGCCAACGACCGATTTGCGGGGATTGCCGGGGATGTGGCGGCCGGGGTGAGCTGCTCCCCCCCCCCAACCCCCCCCCAACTCGCCCCACCACAGCTCCTCCGGTTCAGACTCGCGAACCGGGGATGGAGATGGGGGGGGCGATTCCGGTGGAGTAAATCAAAACCCAACCCCCCCAAACACAAAGGAGCCAAGAAATAGAACAAAAAATCGCTTTTAAAAAGTTCCGTCTTAAGGCGTGATTTGAATAAAGTGAGAGAGGGGGGGTGGGGGTGGGGGAGGAGTCAGCAGAGTGTATGTCCAGTGGAAGTGAATTCCACTGGTCGCTGTTGGGTGGACAGATTTAGCAGGGTTGGCTACGTACACTGTGAAAGAAGTTCAACGTACATATCAGGGGGGATTTAACAAACTTGCTCTCGCTATTGTCTCCGTTGCTGTGCTGGGAGCTCACCCGACACGTGGCCCGCACGTTGGGCAGTCGTGGGCGGGGGGGGGCGGGCGGTGATTCCACCGCAATCATCGCCAATTGAGTCATGTGCGGTATAATTTTTAGATTAGGGCAAAATTTTGGACTGTAACTTCGGCACGTGATGGCCTGCTCGTTTCGAATAACGACACGGGATCATTAACGTCCGCTGTAAAGCAGACGGCACGCAGCCTTTTATGATTAACACACGGCGCAGTATTGGCCGGGGCTACCCGCCGGAATCGAGACATAAACCTCCGATTAGCTCGTTTGGCTGCATATGGTACCGAAGAAGTTCTACATAGGAAAGAAGTTCTACATACATACAATACATAGTTATGAACAGGGTACCGCTGGGCCGCGTCACCGCCCTGTGTGTTGCGCTTCTGCAACAGGCACCGGGTCTAGCAGAAGGAGGGAGGCTTGGTGGTGGTGGTGGTGGCAACAATGACCTTGATGCCTCGTTCTGTTGTCTCTCAGAAGCTGGGAGTCGGGAGGCAGATCGTGAGAGATGGTCTTCAAGTGAGCGGAGAAACGCGAGCCAAGTAAGGCATCCCGCTGCACGGCATCGCTTTCCTCCTGAGATTTTAACCGTTAATGCACGAGTTCCGTCCGTCTGTCTTTCACATGGGAGGGGTGAGGGTAGGTGGGGGGGGGGTGGTCATGAGATCATTCAGTACGAGCAAAACTTTCCTGTCGAGTTGCATTGCTATTGGGAATTTATCCTGCGGAAAAGCAGCCACATTGATGCGCACCATCTCCTTCCTTCCTATGTGGAAAATTAAAGACAAGCCATGCAACACAAAAGGGAAATTTGTGAATGTGTGTCCGTTCGAAATGTTTAGCATACTTCCCGACATGCAACAAACTTGAAATTTGGCACGTGGGTAGCTTCCAGACTGTACACAATGCAAAAAGTATAAAAGTATAAAAATATACTTTTGTATTTTGGGGGGGGGTTGGGGGGTGCGCAATGATGGATATATTTTGCACGGCAAGTGTGATGTCACCCGTATGCGGCAGCGTCACGCAGTGTGCCTGCTGACGTCACGCATCCCCCCCCAACCCTCCGCGTAGGCCGTGTATTAATCCAAGACAAGAATCCAAGTCCCGGGCGAAGCCGGTGGTAAAGCTAGTAGACAATATAGTAAACCCATATTGATAGAGATCGATTTAAAGACAGGCCATTGCAGTGCGATTGTGGCCGTACAGTCCTCCGCATTGGCATCGAGCTCCCGAACACATTTGCCACGTGCAAGGGATAGAATAGAATCGGCCATGTAAATAAATTGGTAATACTGAAGTTTTTAAACAATAAAAACAGATTTAACCATTTCTGAGAATAAAACACGAGGTGTTAACATGTTTAAACACCAAATAGGAACCTTTTGCGAGGTTTAAAGTCTGCATTAACCACACATACTTTCGGCAAAATAAGCAAACAAACGTTCTCTGATAATGATATATGCGTTGTCCTTGTAACTGATTGGCCTACACCAGAGAGACTTCTTTATCGCCTTGTCTCGCCGGTGTTAGACCAGAGAACGCTTTAAAGGCAAAAAGTACAAAGACAATGCAAGTATCGGAACATTTGGTTCGTTCGGTAAAGTCACTTAGGTGAAAAATAAAAATGTAATAAAATAAATTAAATTTGCGACGTTTCGGGCACAACACAAGCGCCCGTCATCAGGTGGGACCACCACAGCTAGAAACAACGTCGTGATTTTATTTTTTATTTTTCTCCCTACGTGACTTTACCGAAAGAACCAAAGAGTATGGATCCTTGCAGTCACGAAAACTTCAAATCTAGAAAGTATCATGACATTTATAACTCGGTTCGAGCAGTTATATCTATGGGATAACTTTTTTTGTTAGTGTCCAAAATGTACATATTAACCCCTCCTCTTGTATTGCCAGAATAGGGTAAAACCTTTTCTTATTCATTTTCATAATTTTTAATATTGGCAGAAAAGATCCCTATTCGTATTCAGCAAAAATCAAAAGGAAATGATCCCATCGACGAAGGTTTTTCTACCTCTCTTACATGGAGGTACCAATCTCTTCTCTGGCATCTGCACGCGGATCGCCGTGTTATTTAACGGAGCCGTTATTGTGAAATGTAAAATTTTATTGGCAGCGGGTCAAACGGAGGCGGGTTGAGTTCATTGTGGGCAGGAATCGCCGTCAAAGTTGGTGACCGCTGCTGCTGCTGCTGCAGCGGTTTTCCTGTAGCCACGGCAACAGGGCGGCAACAGGGCGGCAACAGGGCGGCAACAGGGCGGCAACAGGGCGCCAACGAGGGTGCCGCCCGGCACTCGTGGCGCGGTGCCACCGTGGCCTGGCGGCAGCGGCGCGTTTGCCAATCGTTGCGGGGGTTTTGCGGTTTGAATCCAGCGACCAATCCTGATGAATACTGCGGTGTAAGATTGCCGCAACAATATTACTACGACTAACAACCACGGTGGTCGCTAAAAATTTCCCGCGCCAGCATTCGCTAAGAGCAGGCCGTCGTGTGCAGGCGTTGGGGTACAACATTCGGCAAATTCGAAGGTTATCGGATGGGGGATTATACACAACGGCAATCATCGCCCCTCCCCACGCCCCATGCTACTGACAGAAGAATGCCCCAGGTCACCAGTGTAGATGAGTTGAGTTCTCACCTGGATAAACAAATTCTACTTGACACTCGTTCGTGTACCTGTGAGCTACTGGCACCATCACAGGAGCACGGTTAATTGCAGTGTGTCCTAACATTATATGGGAAGCTATATATATTTATAAAAACAAAGACCCCCCCGGGTAAACTGTTAGGGCAAGTGCTGTTAGGGAGCACCTATGAAGGCCGGCACGGCACACGAGGGGGTGGGTGGCCTGCACCACGCCTAGCCGCCTTTGTCTCCCCAATGGCAATGTTTACATATTGCACCAGGTACTCATTTGAGGCTGAATCGACCTAGGGGGGAGGCCCTGGGACTGGTTTAAAATAATCGCCACTGGTATTGACCGTGAGCGGGAATCAAAGTCGGCTCATCGGGTTTGTAGTGCAGCGCGATAACCACGGCACTACCGCTCCCTTATATGCACACGCACACGGTGTCCCGCGTACTATTGTTACGTTTCTTACTCAGGAGAGCCTCATTAGGGCGGACCACGACTGCTGAGTTTCCCCCCAATTAATTCATCGCGAAATAATTTGGAGCGCGTGGCCACCTCGACTAACAGCAACGACCGCCGCGACGCAGGCTGTGCGGAGTGTTTGCGGTCGATAACAACGCACTTGCAGTGTTGGCCCAGGGGTGGTTGTGGGTCTCAAGTAGGGATATTTGTTTTGAGAGAGGTGGGGGGGCGGAGGGGGGTGGTGGGCGTGCCCTCCATAAACATTTAAGTAAATTATATTTTAAAATAAATTCGCACTACCAAAGCTTTTGCACACTTGTGATTTGCTCAGAGAGACTGTAATGTGTGCCGATACAGGTCCAGTCCAGTCCTGCACCGTGACAGTGACCAACTAGCATTGGATCGTGCGATCCAGAATCGCTTTGCGTTTTTGGTTACTTTTACAGTGGTTTCTGTTCCCCGTTGCCACATTTATTTTTATATTGCTGCTTTTCTTTGTTACACATTGTAAAAAAAGCAATATAAATAACATTGCAAGCTGTAAACGGGCTAAATAAAGAATGGGAGTCTGCCACGGTGGTGTAACAGCAGCACACTGGACTGGCAATCCAGAGGTCGCCGATTGAAACGCCACCATCCACCGCCTCTGTCCACCCGGCAGCATAACGCCGCAGTTATTCTATTGGCAACGCGCCTGCGGTTGGGAAAAGTGTGGACGCTCCCACCTCATCCAAGATGTTGAGCCGGCGTGGAAGAGTGTAGGCCAAAACGCTGCCCAGATGCAACTCCGCAGAGCTCCCTCCTCTAGTGGAGGCCCGTTCCGCCACCAGTGGCACGAGTGAGAAATTGTAGGGCTGCGCCTCGACATGTCCTGAATTAACCCGTAGTGTTGAGGACACACTCCAGTCCGAGGAGAGTGGAGGTAGCAGGAAGATGATGCTCGCTCGTGTGAAGACCTTTGCATTTTATTGGGTGGTGCTGAGCTGGTTGGCGCCAGACTTGGTTTATCGGAAGGTTGCGAGTGCAAAGTCCAGTTTGGGGGTCGGGTCAGCTTATTGCCATTATCTGTGCTGCCAGTCATTGTCATTATCTGGGAGCTGATGACAGAGGTCACAGGCCACTGAGCCAGCACCGCTAAGAGCTTGGGTTCGAATCCATGTTTCAGCCACCCACTGTGATTAAACTCGGTTGCAATGCACTCCGATTAGCATGGTTGGCTACGTACGGTGCGAAGGAAATTCTACATACATACTGCCCATAGACTCAACACTGCCCATAGACTAACTCTACGCATAGACTCTTCATTGCCCATAGACTAACACTGCCCATAGACTCAATACTGCCCATAGACTCAATACTGCCCATAGACTAACACTGCCCATAGACTCAACACTGCCCATAGACTCAGCACTGTCCATAGACTCAACGCTGCCCACAGACTCAACTCTGCCCATAGACTCAACACTACCCATAGACTCAACACTGCCCATAGACTCAACCACTGCCCATAGACTCAACACTGTCCTTAGACTCAACTCTGCCCATAGACTCAACCACTGCCCATAGACTCAACCACTGCCCATAGACTCAACACTGCCCATAGACTCAACACTACCCATAGACTCAACACTACCCATAGACTCAACACTGCCCATAGACTCAACCACTGTCCATAGACTCAACACTACCCATAGACTCAACCACTTCCCATAGACTCAACACTACCCATAGACTCAATACTGCCCATAGACTCAACACTGCCCATAGACTCAACGCTGCCCATAGACTCAACACTACCCATAGACTCAACACTGCACCATAGACTCAACACTGCCCATAGACTCAACCACTGCCCATAAACTCAACACTGCCGATAGACTCAACACTGCACAATAGACTCAACACTGTTCATAGACTCAACACTGCACATAGACTCAACGCTGCCCATAGACTCTACACTGCACCTTCGATTAGCACGGTTGGCTACACACAGTGTGAAAGAAGTTCAATGCATATACAACAGTGGGTCTTTCTGCACTGCCGTCTGTTACCGCCCACGAACTTGGCCGCAACGCCTCGCGCTCAGCGCTCGCCCATCCCCCATGACGCGGGCTCAATGCCTGTTGAGCTTGCATGATCCGATGGCGATCGGACGCATTGCGGGTGGCTTCGTCGCAGGGTTTGTCCACGTTGATGCCGTTTTGGCTATGGTTGTGGCCATATTGCGGCTGTTGTCGTTATGTCGTTCCAGTTGTGGTTGTAATGTGGCTGTTATAGTTGCGGTTATAATGTGGTTGCCGTTGTGATTATAATGTTTGTTCGTTATAGTGTGGCTTCAGTTGTGGTTGTGAAATACGCGAGGTGTTGATGATATTAACGTTGTTGATATGTCACTGGTGGATGTTGATATATTATTGTTGACGTGAACAATTATCTTGTTGTTGTTGATGTATATTTGTCATTAGATTGATGTTATGTTGAATCGTTCTTGGTGTTGATTTACATCCGTTATATATCTGTTCATATTGTTACGGCACATTATTGTTGTTGTTGTTGTTTGAAGTAGGCCAGTGACTGTCGAGCAATCCGTTTCGCTTGTGATTCACTGTAGTGATATCCCACGCAAATGCACGGCAGTGCTTGTTGGCGGCCTTCGTTTAACACAAATACAGAGTAAAACCTTGGATTGCGAGTAACTTGGTCTGCGAGTGTTTTGCAAGACGAGCAAAAATTTTAAATAAATATTAATTTGATAAACGAGCGAGGTCTTGCAATGCGAGCAGCACGTGTAGTACACTTTGTCTGCAGAGCGTCACGTGATCACAACTGACATACGAGTGCTTTGGATTACAAACACGTTTCCGGAACGAATTATGCTCGCAATCCAAGGTTTTACTGTATAACGTTTGATCGAGTCTCGAGACGTTTTTTTTTTAGGAAGGTCCTGGCAGGGTACGTTTGGCCACAAGAAAACCTCGCCAATCGCGGCTTTGCCTCTAAACAGTTTTCCGGAAGACTGGGATGAGGGGGGTGATGTTTCGTCTGTACGCGGTTGGACATTGCTAAGGTTGTTGTGAAGATAGCCATTCGACGTCCGTATGTTGAACTCTTTTCACGCCGTACGTAGCCAACTGCGCCCGTCGGAGGTGCGGCCTTGCGAAAGATGAGGGAGCGTTGCGTCCGTTGGATGGGACTGTGGTGCGAATGAATTGACTGCGCGGAACGATTTATTTGCCGCGTGTGTGTGTGTGTGTGATGATGTAACACACAGGGAACTTGACACGCTCGCGCACAATGCAGATGTTCGCAGGCGCGTTGCCGCCACGCATCTAGCCGTCTATTCGGGGGGGGGGAGGCTCCGTGTTGGGGGAGGGGGAGAGCGGTTGGGCGCGAGTGCAGCGGTGCGGGAAGGGTAGAGGAGAGACGGGGGATTTAGTGATGAGGTGAAATTGAAAAATAAAGAGTGTACACGCGCGCGCGCGCACACAAGGTACGGGGAGCGACTCCGCTCTCCTTTAGTACAACGGCAAGGGAATTAGTTAAACTGAAGGGGGGGAGGGAGGTGATGATTTTGGACCCTGGAGCACAACCCTGTTTCCCAGCGTGGCATTTTGCAGGAACGTAACTCCCCCCCCACCCCCACCCCGGCCTTTAAAGATCCCTTGACATCATTCGCAAGAGTGTGCTGCCTGCCGCGTGCCGGCCAAGAGGATCCAGATTTGCCCAAATTCGAAAATGACACCGCGGATCGCTCAACAGCCGTGACCGCCCCCGACTGGCAGATTAATGTCCCCGGGTCACTCTTACCTCTCTCTGTTACTCCTGCTTGTGCTCAATCACATGATGTCGCTCCTTCTCTCGTCTCACTCGCTCGCTCGCTTCTTCACTGGAACAAATTAACCCCCTCCACATTTTGCAGTCGCCTTCGCTCGCTAAGTTTCCACTGCTCACTCAAAACCCACTGATTGTTCTATAGCTCACCCCACGACCCCCTGAATCTCCCCCTCATAACCACCACCACCACCACCGTTACTGTTCCCACTTCATATTCTCATTGCATGGCTGTCACGATACTTCTGCTAATGTCAAGGACTCCATTCACTAGGCTGACCGTTACGTAAATGTTATGTATATCGTTTATTTATATTCTTAGTTTTTTCGGTAAAGTCACGTTGAAGAGAAACAACAAAATAACAAAATATATATAAAACAATAAAAAAAAAATTCTCACGACGTTTCGACCATAACTCAAACGGTCATCATCAGGTGTGTGACTTTACCGAAAAAACTAAGAATATGAATTACTGCAGTCACGAAAGCTTTAAATCAAAATTTATATCGTTTATTGTTAAATTTGAATCACGGTTCCCTTTTGATTGCTGTTACATTGTTTTTATAGCTTCATTTTGCTGATTTCGAAAACATGGTTAAGCCGTGTTTCTTGCGGAAGTGCGGAGTTGGCCTGATAACTTTAATCTAAATTGTCTTATGGTTGTTATTGTTTGACTTGCATCACACTGGGATTTTTGCACACAGCATTGTAATACGGTGTTTTTTTTCTGGAATATTTGCTGGTTTATCCCAGGATGTTTCTGTTGCGCGTCGTCGCTTTAAGATGTTTCTCTGTTCATATTTTGTTTGTTGCGGTTGCACCCGACTGAAGAGCCGCGTGGCTCACAGGGCTCTACCTCATAAATGGAACGTGAAAAACTTGAACTCGTTCCACATTCACTCAATCCATTCATCATCATTTACTGTCATCAGTTTCGCTTTCACCAAATTCACTCATCACAGATTCGCCCCCATTGCTTCCCTCTCATCTATTTCATTCACCTCATCTCGACCATTACATTCACACACACACACGCACGTGTTGTACCGTTCTTAATTCTCCATAAAGCGGCCTCGGTTAAAGCGCCGAACAAATTCCGTTAAGGTAACATCTTGTCCTGGTCTCTTGATCACGTCTGGCTAAACAACATTGACTTTGAACTTGTTTTGCAGCCTGCACCTGTCGGAGAGTCAAATTGAATTCTTCCGCATGTTGGATGAGAAGATTGAGCGGGTAAGTTCATTGTTGCATCTCTACGTCTACAATGGTGATTGCTACAGTGATGTTGAAGATCAGCTAATATGTTGATCATATTAAAAGTAAAAACCATTTATAATTTGCAACAAGCACAGTTTTAGTTCACTATCCGAGAGAGACAATGTTTCGGAGGCACCGGCAAAACCCACAAATAAATGGAAAAAGGAGCCATCTGCTCTGTGGTGCTGTATTAGTGAGCTGCCGTGGTGCTGTGTTAGTGAGCTGCTGTATTAGTGAGCTGCCGTGGTGCTGTGTTAGTGAGCTGCTGTATTAGTGAGCTGCCGTGGTGCTGTATTAGTGTGAGCTGCAGTATTAGTGAGCTGCTGTGTTAGTGAGCTGCCGTGGTGCTGTATTAGTGAGCTGCTGTGTTAGTGAGCTGCTGTGTTAGTGAGCTGCTGTGTTAGTGAGCTGCTGTGTTAGTGAGCTGCTGTATTAGTGAGCTGCTGTATTAGTGAGCTGCCGTGGTGCTGTATTGGTGAGCTGCTGTATTAGTGAGCTGCTGTGTTAGTGAGCTGCTGTATTAGTGAGCTGCCGTGGTGCTGTATTAGTGTGAGCTGCTGTATTAGTGAGCTGCTGTGTTAGTGAGAGCTACTGTGTTGGTGAGCGGCTGTGTTGGTGAGCTGCTGTATTAGTGAGCTGCTGTATTGGTGAGCTGCCGTGGTGCTGTATTAGTGTGAGCTGCTGTATTAGTGAGAGCTGCTGTATTAGTGAGAGCTGCTGTGTTAGTGAGCTGCTGTATTAGTGAGCTGCTGTATTAGTGAGAGCTGCTGTGGTGCTGTATGGGAGATGTTTGACCAAGCTCCATGAACGGGTGTTTATATTACCCGTAGCAATATTGACAATAATGATGCAAATTTAAACAGGGCCACAAATCGCTTACTCTAATCCCCGCTCCTCCCAGCCCGTTGCGCTGCTAATACCTCGGGCTTTGGATTGTTTTGGTGAGCTGCGTAAATGGCTTAGCGAGCGGGGGGCTAACGCCAGGGCACATTTGCTCATTGGGAAGCCAATCCGTTGGACGAGCAGTCAAGGGTGCTAATTGTCGACACCGTCGTGAAAGGCCGCGCTTTGTTATTTTACATAATTATATCTTCCCAATGGTTTTGGCGCAACAACACTGAAGCAGAGTTGAGCGGCTGACGTGCACCGTTGTGTTAGCACGGAGGCGTTCAACGGCCGCCTGCGATCTCCCGGGGGAAACAACGGGAGGAAGTGCGTAAGAGAGGGGGCGGAGGAGAGAGAGGGCGAGGGTTATGGGGGAGCTTGTATGGGCAAGAGAGGAAACGAGAGGGGAAGAGAGAGAGAGAGAGGATAATGCCGTCTTGGTAAAGTCGCTAAATTGGGGGGGGGGGGGGGGGTGGTGGGGCAATGGTCGGGATTCAGGAGCGACTAAATTAAGAGGGATAATCTCGCTCCCATTTTGACGAGCTACGGAACGCCAATGATACAGAATGTTGATTTGCCTTCCGGTGGAGCCGCCTGCCCTCCTTTAAGCCGGGGCGGCTCGGCGCTCCGCACAGCTCCGTCTCAACACCCCCCACCCCCCCCTTAGTCTTAGCTGTGACTGAAGCACAAATATGACTCCAGCAGCCATGGGGGCGGGACACAATAATTGCCGCTGTCTGTCGCTCCCCCCCCGCCCCCCCCCCCCCCGAGCTTACCCTGTCCTGTGTTTATTTCCCAATGCTGTTATCTTCTTTGTCGGATGCAAAAACAACGAAACTTGCCGATCGCCTGTTGCGTTTTCTTCTCCCGGCAGGGGCGCGACTACTGCTCTGACGACGAGGACGTGACATAGGCGAGGACCCCCCCCCCCCCCCCCGCCCGCAGTGAGGGGTGCTGCCCCCCACGCCCCCCGCGCCCGCCCGCCTGCCTGCAGTGAGCGCTACCACACGGCGTGCGTGTCTTTTGTGTGTACATACGACGGCGCGGAGTGCAAGACGACCGACGGACTAAAACTCGCCAACGGGGCGAGGGCAGACGTCCTCCACTTGCGCGGCGCGGGGGGGAGGGCAATGCGCTTTGACGCCGGGGAACGGCGGGCGCGTGAGAACCCGCGGCCGGAGCGACGGCAAAGACGATCGAGACGGGGAGGCTGTGCGAGGAGGAGATGGTTTAGAGGTGGTTGCCGATGCGCCCCAAAACGTTTCGAGAATCCCTTCGCATGCGCCCATGCATTTTTTTTTTTTAATCCCTCCGAGCGAAGGACGCGGGGCAAGGCAGGAGGAGGAGTACGACGAGTACAACGATGACGACGATGTGTTCGTGATTTGTTCATCTCCGAAGAAGAAGACGACTCCTGAGTCTGACCTAACGCAACAGTTTGGAGGTTCGTGAATAATAATAATAATAAATATATGTAAATAATAACGACGACGATGATGATGATGATGATGAAGACGATGATGGCAACCAGAAGAAGACTTTGGGACACGTGCCTCTTGCGGCCGCTTCGGGCCCGGGAGTGAATCGACCAGTTTCCGCCGTTGAGATGGAGAGAGTGATTGTTTTAAAACATCATTTTTAGTATTCCACGCTCTGCAGCTACGTTTTGCTGTTTCCGCCGTCGTGTTTTTACTTTGCGCGCGCGGGCAAGGGGCTCATTCCCGGCCGCGGCGTTATCCGTGGAGCCCCGCCGCGCCCGCGCCCCCCCCCCCCCCAGCCCTGCGCTCCACTCTGCCGGTGACGCCGGTGACGCCGGTGACGCCGGTGACGCCGGCGGCGGCGGCGGCGGCGGCAACCGCATTCTCCCTCGCTCCAAGCCGGGCACGACGTCCCGACGGCGTCGCTCGGTGCGCTGTGCGAGCCGCTTCTTCCGGCAGCTGCTGAATCTGAAATCGTCTTGGGGATGATGGCGTTGATGGCTGATGGGCACTCACGGCGAGAGCCGTGGCAGATGCCACGGAACGCACCGCTTGCGGCGGTCGCCGCCAGAATGGCGACGACCACGACCACGACCACGACGACGACCACGACGACGACACAGATTTGAACAATGGAATCATTTGGAACTAATTACTTGCTTAGTTCCAAAATTCAGTCGCTGAAGAAGCTGCCGGCGCGCGGAGCGAAACGTCGGACAGCGGTGCCGAGTTGGGATGCGGCGCAGCCGCGAAGGGCCTCCGCAAGTATCAATCGGAAAACATTCCCATCTCCACACCGTATTCTTCCCCTAAATTATTATTTTTCTACAGATATCGTCGATTTCTTTTTAACTTTGGCAGGAGACGTAAGCGCCACGGAAGTTGGTCGAATTTTTTTTTTTTAATTCTAAAGTCTTAATATGAATATCTGCTGAAGGTGTTGTCATTGACACGGTGAAGGTGATGACATGAAGTTGTTGACGTGGTATCGTAAACACTACAAAAGTGGCAGGCTTTGTAAACTATATTTTTTTCCCCCCGCTGAAAAAAAAACAATCGCGCCCGTGAAATACGTGTCGAGAGCGTGATGAGAGCTCAGCTGCATGTGAATCTCGCCGCCGTGCCCCCCCCCCCCCCCCCCCCACCCATTCATTTTACTATCGTCGAAATTTTTTTGCCGAATTATTGTTTTGCGAGCGGGCGAAACGCAGACGCCGACATGCCCGTGCATTTCAACACGGTACCGCCCCGTTCGCTGTTCTTAAGCCAAACTGCAAACTAGGATGATTTTTTTTTAAAACCGAGCAGTATTTTTTTTTCCTGGCCGGGGTCTACACCTGAACCGATCGGTTGCACTTCTTGCTTGCGTGCAACTGAATGTCTTCTAATACGGACGCATATCTGCAACCAGTTGTGAGCAGTTGCCTGCAACCGGGGCCCGCTCATGGCAGAGATCGGACTCCGCATTCAAGCGTCGATCCTCTCAGGCGATTTGTTAGCGACTCGTTCTCCGTCACCCACTCGACAACATTTGCCCACAGCTACGATTCGGGCCCGTTAGGTTTTTATGGGCGGAGTGGGTTGTGGCCGGACACGAGCCACGGGCCCGGACACCTCGTCCTTGTTGCGCACGCGAGCAGAGCGTGGGCCAATGGGTGACGGTGCGATCCGAATTGTTTATCCTTGCCGCCACGCAAGCGATCCCATTGAGCAGCTCCGCGCTCAGGTGTGCAGCAGCCGGCTTGAAGAATTGCCTAACGTTTCCCAACGTGTTGTGCCAACGCATTTATTTTGGGTCGACTTTGCCAATTTTTCCCACGTTTGCCTTCTTAGATGTGGGTAGGGGGGGGGAGGGGCGGTCACCCATTAGCTCTGTGCCACGCTGGTGACCAACAATCATTCCTGGGGGGCCGTCTGTCCATCTGCGTGCAGTAAAATCACTTTAAAGAAATACGAAATTAGTAAGTCAGGGAGCGATATTGTTTTTTAAGCAAAGTGAATGCAAATTCATTTGTGTGGGGTGTTTGTGTGATTTTAGTGATGGGGGTGTGTGAGTGTAGCTGTACGTGTATGGATATTTGTACGTATGTATATGTTAGTGCGTGCATGTGGAATTCATGTTGGTATGTGGTGTCACTGGTGAGTGTGTGTATTGGTTTACTGTGTGTGTGTGTACTGTGTGAGTGGATTTACTGTTTGGGGCTGTGTGTGTGTGTGCGTGTCGTCACTGTTTAGGGTCACTGTGTGTGTTTGGGTTTACTGACCTCCCGCAAGCGAGCCTTCGACATTTCGCATTGCTTCAAAATGCATGCAGCCTGGCACAGGTGCCATGGAGACATCGGCGACACCTTAGTGGCGAATGGCGGCTGTTGTTTTGTCTCTGTGTACTGTAGTGTGTGTGTGTGTGCGCGCGCGAGTTTGTTTTTGTACGTACGTGTGTACGGAATGGCAGTACGCCGGTTTGCACAATGCGCTACGAACCACTGACCAGAGTTGAATAGCCGGCCACGTCCAACATAAGTGTGGGGAGCAGTACCCGTTCGGGTACTGCTCACCCCAGCCGCCCTGCTTCATCAACCTTTGGTGACCAGTGCGGTGAAGTATTGTCAAACATCCCCCATGTCCGATGCGGATTAGAGAGGCTGTCACCCAGCAGCAAATTGACAAGGGGCTGTAAGTTATATCACTATGTACAAACAACTGCAATGGGGCTAGCCTGAAGTGGCCGTTGTAATGAGGGCCTGGTGCGATGTGTCGTAAACATCAGCACTGGGGAGGGAGATGTGGACGGGGCGTGGAGGCCGGCCACAGCAGCCCCTTGCATGGCGCTACGGCCTTTAAAATAGGTGCTTGCTTGTTAACAGCACTTGCCCCAACAATTAAAACAAATGCACAACAACCGACCTTTGTGTTTTGTACGTGTGCATGATTATGTGCATGCTTGGGAATGTGTGCGCGTGTGCCCTAAGTGTGTTTAATGGGGGAGCTGTAGTGTGGCAGGTCAGCGCTACGCTGCGCTACGAACCCGGCGACCCGAGTTCGATTCCCACTCACGGCCACCAACGCCGGTGAGGATTATCTGAACCGTTCATGGGCCTCCTCCGCTAGGTCGACACGGCCGCAACTGAGTACCTGGTGCGGTGTGTAAACATCACCACTGGGGAGACAAAGGCGGCCGGGCGTGGTGCTGGCCACCCATCCCCCTAATCTGTCGTGCCGGCCTTCATAGGTGCTCGCTAACAGGATTTGGCATAAAAACTGTTGCAGCTATACGGGAGGTCTTTGTGTATGAATGTGCGTGTGTGCGTGTTTAAAAGTGCGTGACGTAACCATCACTTAGTGGCGAATGGCGGGTATTGGTTTATGAATGCGTCTGTATGTATGCACTGGTATGAATGCGCGTGTGTGTGTGTGAACGTGTACGTACGTGTGCTTTTTAGGCCGTCAAGTTTATCCCAGCCACTTGATTCATTCATTACTCTACTTAATTACCTCCACACCCGGCAACCTCTCCACGACGTTGGGCGGGTGAACAGTGAAGGGATCGTTCTGCCTCGTGGCGTTGTGACTTAACACACACGGCTAAGTAGTCAGCTCTCAGGGCTTGTGAGGTACAATTCCACATCGGACGTGAACCAGCCCGGGCGCTTTTCCATTGCAAGTGCTCCTCTCCGCACATTCGGCAATCGCGAGCTTGAGAAGACCGCCGCAGTCGTCCCCCAGTGCTCCGCAACGACGCGCCGTGAGTTTGCGTACAGGGTCTCTCTTCGTACTGATTGTACAATCCTCCATTTACCCAGGAAAGCCTCAAAGAGTCCCAGGATTTGTTTGCAGGAGGGTTTCTGCTCAGGATATTTGGCCACGTTTTTTGTTTAATGTCCCCGCCTAACAGCCGCGTTTAATAAATTAATCGGTACCGTGGGTTTTGTCACGGACGCGCGATTGGCGTCGCTTCGACATGAAACGAAGAATCCGTTGGAAAATCTCGCACGGTGGCGGTGGTACAGCAGCTTCATGTTAGAGAAGACGGCCTGCGGAAGTGGACATCACAGAGCTATCTCTGAGAACCTTTTGAGTGATCTGCTGGTCCACAGGAGAGGAGAGTACCGGTATTTTTTTTAATTCTCCGAGCTGTAATTTGGACCAGGATGAGACGATCATCTCGCTGCGCCAGAGAACCCAGTTTAACCGGAGGCAGCGGCTGGAACCTGGATTTTGAACCCCAGGCTCTCAGCGTTGCCGGCTCAGCACCTCTGATCCCTGGGCCGACCGGCCACCAAAATGCCAAGTGGCCAGCAACAGACTGCACTAAATGACGATGCAACAGATCGAGTTAGAAGGTTACTTGAAATTGAGAAAAGTTCTAGAAACCTGGTGAAATAAGCCAATGGGAGGGAATTTCAGAGTGGAGCAATGCGAGGGAAGAAGCAGAGAGAGAGAGGGAGAGAAGTTGAGGGTGACGTACATTGCGGCGGTCGAACAGACGTAGCTGGTGCACCTCGCCCAATGTGTGGACGAATCGCTGAGTGAAGTCCACGGTGACAGGGAAGTGACTGATCGCCAGCGAGCCCAGTGGCTGGGCGTGAAATCGGCGAGGTTCACGGGAACAGAAACCGTCGCAGCAGAGCGATAAGGGGACTCCCAAATGCCACCTGGGCTGCGGTGTGGCCAGGAGGTTTCAGTAGAGCCAAGCGAGTTTGTAAACCCATCTGCCAAGGAGCTTTGGCATGTTATCTTCTCTTGCACACGTCACGGTTGGTTTAGTGCAGATATTCCGATTTTTCTCCCACGTGAAGCAAAGCACGTCCAATAGCAAATGGCCACCCTCCCCTGGGAAAGGAGTTGAGATTCAGTGAGGCTTTCATGATAGGTAATATATGGCATTATGATTAATAGTGTTTATACTCAAGTGTTCGGTGGAAGGTTAATTGTAGAAAAAAAAATCGTATCTAAAGGCCATGAGTTTTGATGGATTTCCATTGGGAGTAAAAAAAAGAGTCTCAAACGCCGATGTTGTATACCTAAGGC